CTTGTTGTATCACTGCTAATGCTTTTGTTCTTTCTGCTTACGGTATCGTATGCGAGTACCAGAAACCTCCGGGGCTGAAGTTGGAATCGAGATCTGGAGGGTGCGTCCAAGTGGTAAAGCTCACGATGCCGTCGCTGTTGGCGGTGCCGAGGTCCGGAACAAAGTCGAGGATGAATACGTTATTCTTCAGGACTGCCTTGCCGATGTAGAGGCCTCCCTTTCCATTATACAACTTGAACTCCTGCGTGGTGTTGTCTGCTTCAAGATGAATTCCCTTCGCCATCAGTTGACTGACGCTGAGTAAGTTGTAGCCGAGTCCTTCTGCGATCAATACTTTCGATATTTGTAAAATTACGTTGGTTTCGCGGGACTGAAGTTGAACCACTCCTTGTCGTCGTGTGCGCAGGTTCTGGTTGTTGGCGACGGTGATGACGACTTCATGGTTAAGGCGTTGCTCTCGTTGGACGAAGCGACTTGAAGAACACATGTGCTGTCCGCAGCAGCTGTCCAAGAACCAGGTGTCTTTTCCGGACGGCTCGCTTTGGGCGATCGCTGCGTATGTCGGGTTGAGCTCCAATGACTCGCGGCGAGGAGTCCTTTCGTAGAGTAGTTCTTCTGTTGAGTAGTGTGGCGGTGACTCGGTGATGCATGAGTCTGTAATTCTTGTCATGCAGCTCACGATGTTTTTTGTGCCTTGTGCAGATTGTGTCGTCGATGTTGTTGAAGATTGCACTTGATTGGTGGGGTGCGCCTGTGTAGAAGCCACCTGACTGCTCGAAGGTCGAAGTTGGCGTTGCGGCGGCGTTGACTGCTGCTGATTTGGACAGAAAGTGCAAGGATGTCCTGACGTCTTGCAGAGATGGCAGAACGGTGGCACATGTCGTTGCACTTGATGCTTGTTTTGTCGGTTGTTGGTGTTGTTGTAGCGCCGTTGGGTGTGAAATGCGAACTCAGGTGTTGACGTTTTTCTCTTGTGTCGTTCCTCGTGTAGGTCCATGTTTTGGTGTTCGGCGTGAATTTCGGCGCAGAGTGCCGCTTTGGAGATCTTCCCGTGATGTCGAAGAATGGCTCGAGTGGAGCGCCAATGAGGCCCGAGCCCAGTGATGACGATCGTGACGAAGGCTTCTTCTGATATTGATCCTCCGCATCGAAGGAGTCTGTCGCGCAATCCGCGACATCGGCTGACATACGCCATTCCCTTTTCGCTTGGCATTTCCACTGTTCTCAGCTGTGCCATGAGTCGACTCTGGTTAACGCTGTCTGTTGCTTGGTACAGGCTCTTCAAGTGGTTGTACGCGAGCTCGGCGGAGTTGCCGTATCCACGATAAGACCGGATATTCTGCAGCTCGTTCGGCGTTATGTTTCGTAGGAGTATCGTATATGACATCAGCGACTGATATGTGTACTGCTGCTTGTCGTACTATGTCCCGTGTTTCGGGTATGCCAGGGACCCGTCGAAGACGCCGAGAATCTGCGCGCCCTCCATCATCAGCTCAAATTCAAAGGAACAGGTATAAAAGTCTTTGCCATCGAATGGTGTCGATGTCTGCAGCTTTAACACGTGTGCGAACTGTGACTGCATCTGAAGTGCGTCCACTGGTTTCAGTTTATGTCCAGGTTGAAGACGGTTCGGCATGAAGCTGATGGAGCCGCGTTGAGGCTCGTACGGAGCGAAGGTAGGTTGCTGCTGATTTCCGCGTGCATAGGATGAGCCGTCAAGACTCATTGGGGTGACGCCATTGTTGTTGTCGCTGTTGTTTGATTGCGCAGGTGCTGCTTGCTGGTGCTGCTCGTAGAAGGACATGAAGGAGAAGAATTTTTCCATCATGTTTGGATCGAAGCCGGTTGCCTGGTTCGCAGGTGTTTCAGTAGACTCAGCAGCTGGTCTTGTCGCCGTGCTTTCTTCTGTCTGTAGGACAGAAGTTGGAGGTGGAGTAGGAGTAGTGCCGGGAGAGCCGTTAGAGGAGCTTCTCTCCTTCTGTGTTGCCATGCCTTCTGTTGTAGGAGTGTTGATGAAGTTGGATCTTGTCTTGTGTGCTCTCATACCATGTTGGGCTGAGAAAAGCCCTTAGGATCTTTTCAAGGCTAAGTCCCTGAATAATAATGTTGTAATTGCAGAAGCGTTTAGTGAACTTGTTGAACCACCTTGCACTAGTGTGTGAGAGCAAGATAGATTGATTAAAGCAAAGAGATACAAGCTTTTATATGATTACAAGAGAAGACGAAAGGTTTAACTAACTGCAATTGTAACTGCTGCTGTTGCGGTTCGATACAGTCACGACTCGGGCAACTGCTCAATAGCGAGTCAGTTGTGTGTCCTTGCTGTCGCGCTGTATTTTGGCGAGTCAAAGGTCGCTGACCTTTGACCTTCGCGTAACCTCCAGCTGTTACTTTCTGTCGACTTCCTCGGTTGACTCGCCGTTGCTTCGCTATAACTCGCCTTGTTTGTAGTTCGGTGTTTCGACGCATCAGAAGCGTTTAATTATTGTTTCCAACAGGGGTCAGGCTCGGAGATGTGGGGGAAATGTGGGAAGTGGGGCTGTGAAGTATAGGGAAATGGGGGGAATGGGGCAAAGGAAATGGGGAAAATGGGGCTGGGAGGCCGAAGGAAACGTAAGGAGTGGGGCCGGGGGAGAGGGCCGAAGGTAATGGGGAGAATGAGGCTCGGTGAGGCAAAAGGAACAGGGCAAATCGGGCTGGGAGAGGCAACTGACACTTGGGGAGCAGGGCTAGGTTGAAAGAGGCGCAAAATGTGGGGTAGATTCGGGAGTAGAAATGCGACAAAAAGCAGGTTTCAACAGTCCATCGCTTTCTGATTCAGTGCGTTTTTTTCCGCACCCTGTCTGGGAAGGCTAAAATTCACAACACTCTGGTAAAATCAGCCTATTTTGTATGTGTACACTTTTTCAGAAAGGGTAACAAACGAAATAGGCTTGTAAAATCAGGGTAACCTCCGAAAACAGCTTGCTTTGCTTTTCTTGACTGGTCTTGTGACCACTGGTTCTCCCCCACTTTGCCTATGGGGGTGTGTCAAACTATAATGTTGCATATGTTGTGTAGGCTGTAGTGGGGTAGCCCATAAGGGGTACAACCCAATTATGGTTAGTACTTGTATTCAGATCCTACTCAATACATTCATTCTCCTGTTGTTCTATCTTGGGGGCAGGGCCCAAAATAGGTTTTAGCTCACTCTTTCAAATCAGGGTGGCAGGCCCCCCGTACCCTGACTGGTAGGGTAATTTTTCTCGTACACTGATTGTAGCAGCCTAAAAATTCTGGTACACTGATGTCAGCAGGGTAATATATCCCATACACTGTTTCCTTCGCACAAATATTTACTACACCAACAGTTACTACTCACTAAGTTTTTCTGCACACAAACTTTACTATCACGTTAAATAAACCATCCTAAAGCCACTACTCAACGTCTGCTGCACTAGCAACTGCTTCGTCCGCAAATTGTGCAGTGCTGGCCTTCATGCCGGAGAAGTCCTTGGTGGATCGCCCGAGCTTCTCACCGCGGAATACGGCGACCACCTCGTACCAGTCTATGTCGTACTGCAGGAGGGAGCACCGCATCAGGTGCTCAAGGCTTGTGTCACCGAGGCTGCCGCGTTCCCATGTCTTTATCAGGTTCTGCTTGCTAAAGCCGCGATCACATTCAACCGTGCTCCGTGGTAGCACGGCGACAGACTGCCACATCCGGACGATGTTGGGAAACGAAGCACGCCACGCCTCGTCGCGCAGCATGTTCTCCAGCGCCTGAAGAAACTCCTCGTTGTTGTGCTGGGAGAACATGGTCAGGGTAAACATCCAAAGCTCCTGGCCGGCACGCTTGTAGTCAAACCCTGGTAGTGCGGTAGGGGTTGGAAATTTGCATATGCTCATACATACGGGTTGGAGTGGGAGGCATTAGTCCAACAATACAGGGCCGGGTGATGAGCAGCAACAAGCGCATTGTGACACAAGCTGGTGCAAAGCAAGAAACATCAAGTCAATCTCAGATACCCGACACATCAGACACTGACGCTCGCACGGGAAAACGGTGCCGACAACACATTCAGGGGATGCCTCACGCGCAGGTTGAGAGATAGAACGCTATAGTTCTCTCTCAGCCGAGGTAACACACCGAGAACGGAGAGACCGTTCCTGGTGCTACCAGGCGGATCTGGCTTTGAGGCAGGCATTCGGAACAACAAACGAGAGACAAGTGAGAGAATGGCGAGAGTCTGAGAGACCCCTTGGAAATCACAAAGCCCAAGGGGCCTCAGGCAGCACGGTTCCCGCGCACCGCGGAAACTGCATGGCAGAGGCTGCAAGACCACAGTGACTGCCAGGTGGTGCAAACGACAGCACGTAACCCACCTGCCGCGCAATTTGGCAACGTTGGCAGTGAGCGGTGCTTCGGGAGCGCACGAAAACCGGGTGCATTGGCTTTGATGTTGCTCAACGGACCAATCGTAGGTGTGCGCGTGCATCCGCACTGCTTCTACATTGGCGCGCCAGTGGGTGTATCGAACAAATGGTCCAGTGGGACCGTGGTGCATTTTGTCTTGGCGCGTACTGGCGGAATCCTCGATAAAACAGAGTTTCGGTAAAAGGGTAGTTGAGCCCCTACCCTGATACAGTCAGTGTAACTAAAAAACCTAGAAGAATACTTTTTATCGTATCCTGATTTCACTAGGGTAAAAAGTTTCCTACCCTGATTTCAAAAGGGTAACTGCCAAAAAGTGGCCTACCATCAGGGCAAAAAGGGTAAAATACCCTTGAAATTTGGGGCCTGTTTGGGGGGGTCTTATATCCGGGTCCGGGGGATTACGGTAGAAGTAATCCAGCTTTTTCCAAGTGAAATTACTACCGTACATATATTCTAGCATCGATAACAGACAGCAGGAGCACATGCGCATGCAGAGACTCTAACCGCGTTAACAACCAGTCTCCCTCCCTCTCGAACCATCTCCAAATGCTCCATTTACCAGCACTTTTCCCCACTTCCCCCCTCATTCGGGCTGCACAGCGCGCCGCCACGCGCCCCCTCTGAGCAGGTCCCAGGCGCTAAACGATGGTGCCTCGGGTGCGGGGGAGGGGGTGACGGCACGGGGCGTGGTGGCGGGGGAGCTGTAGTCGCCAGCGGCAGAGGCGGAGCGCACCGGCAGGTGGATGGAGCGGTCGGAGGTGGTGGCAGGAGCGGGCATGGAGGGCGTGGAGGGGAGAGGAGCGCCAGTGTGAGGGGCGGCGGCAGTGGCGCTGGCGCTGTAGGGCAGGAGGAAGTGGAAGGCGGGGTCGTGCTGCAGCTCAGGTGGCGGCTCCAAGTGGTCAATGTGCATGGCGGGCATGGCGAGGGCTATGTCGTCCACCGTGAAGGGGATGCTGGCGGGGTGAGGGGGGAAGGGGTTCAAGGAGGCAGGGATGAGGGCATGCGAGAGATGGCGGGATTAGGGGAGATGGGCGGGATTAGGGGAGATGGGCGGGATTAGGGGAGATGGGCGGGATTAGGGGAGAGAGAACAAAATGCGGGGAGAAAGAAATGGAGAGTTGAAGAGTGTTGGGCATGCTCTCGTGTATAGAAGCACAGCATGCATGCCAGCATGTGCATGGCCACCCATGCCCACACATGGCCCACCCACGCCCACCCACGCCCACCCACGCCCACCCACACCCATCTACACCCCCACCCAGACCCACCCACACCCATTCGCACCCATCCACCTCCACGGGCACCGCTCACCTCTCATCGTCGCGCAGCAGCATGGGGCAGTCGTCCAGCATGAGCGCCCACATGCGCTCGGTGACGGAGGGGTCGACGCCCTTGGTGCCGTACGCGTCGTCCTCGTACCAGATGCACATGTGCACCAGCTGGTTCAGCGTCAGGTCGGGGCACAGCTCCTCTATCTCCTCCAGCGACCGCCGCGGCTTGTGGTCCAACGTCTGACCCCACAGAGAACAGGGGAGAGGGAGGAGGGGATGAGGGCAGGGTGGGTGGTAAAGAGCACGGGGGTGAGTGGGGCATGAGACACCAGGGTGATTGAGCTTAAGGACAGGAGCGTGGGTCGCGATGCTGAGCAACTCTGTCCCATTTAAGTGACGGTGGATGCAGTGGTGGGGGGAAGAAATAGGCCATGCACGTGGCGAGGGGAGGATGGTGCCTCAAGGGGGGGTGGCAGTTTGAGGAGTTGGCTGATAATAGCGGTGGGTAGCAGCATGGGGAAGCGTGCAGCACACGAGGACGCATGGGGGCTCACGAGGAAGTAGATGGCTCACGAGGAAGTAGATGGCTCACGAGGAAGTAGATGGCTCACGAGGAAGTAGATGGCTCACGAGGAAGTAGATGGCTCACGAGGAAGTAGATGGCTCACGAGGAAGTAGATGGCTCACGAGGAAGTAGATGGCTCACGAGGAAGTAGATGGCTCACGAGGAAGTAGATGGCTCACGAGGAAGTAGATGGCTCACGAGGAAGTAGATGGCTCACGAGGAAGTAGATGGCTCACGAGGAAGTAGATGGCTCACGAGGAAGTAGATGGCTCACGAGGAAGTAGATGGCTCACGAGGAAGTAGATGGCTCACGAGGAAGTAGATGGCTCACGAGGAAGTAGATGGCTCACGAGGAAGTAGATGGCTCATGAGGAAGTAGATGGCTGAAGTAGATGGCTCACGAGGAAGTAGATGGCTCACGAGGAAGTAGATGGCTCACGAGGAAGTAGATGGCTCACGAGGAAGTAGATGGCTCACGAGGAAGTAGATGGCTCACGAGGAAGTAGATGGCTCACGAGGAAGTAGATGGCTCACGAGGAAGTAGATGGCTCACGAGGAAGTAGATGGCTCACGAGGAAGTAGATGGCTCACGAGGAAGTAGATGGCTTATGAGGAAGTAGATGGCTCACGAGGAAGTAGATGGCTCACGAGGAAGTAGATGGCTCACGAGGAAGTAGATGGCTCACGAGGAAGTAGATGGCTCACGAGGAAGTAGATGGCTCACGAGGAAGTAGATGGCTCACGAGGAAGTAGATGGCTCACGAGGAAGTAGATGGCTCATGAGGAAGTAGATGGCTGAAGTAGATGGCTCACGAGGAAGTAGATGGCTCACGAGGAAGTAGATGGCTCACGAGGAAGTAGATGGCTCACGAGGAAGTAGATGGCTCACGAGGAAGTAGATGGCTCACGAGGAAGTAGATGGCTCACGAGGAAGTAGATGGCTCACGAGGAAGTAGATGGCTCACGAGGAAGTAGATGGCTCACGAGGAAGTAGATGGCTCACGAGGAAGTAGATGGCTCACGAGGAAGTAGATGGCTCACGAGGAAGTAGATGGCTCATGAGGAAGTAGATGGCTGAAGTAGATGGCTCACGAGGAAGTAGATGGCTCACGAGGAAGTAGATGGCTCACGAGGAAGTAGATGGCTCACGAGGAAGTAGATGGCTCACGAGGAAGTAGATGGCCTGTCGGATGTGTCGCAGCTCGCGCTTGAGGGGCTCCTTGGTGGCGCCCATGGCGTCCCGCAGCTGCACCTCCACGTCGTGCACCCACTGCTCCAGCCGCCCCAGCCCCTCCTCCATCAGCTCCCCGTTGCTGTACGTGCACGGACACCACTGTGCCCGCACCATTAGCCTGTTATTGGGGGGTGGGGGGAGGGGGCGAGGGAATAGAAAATGGACTTCGTGACATCCGTTGCTGTACACGCAGGGGACACCACTGCGCCCGCACCATGAGACTGTGAAGGGAAAGAGTGAAGGTTGACATTGCATTAGCTGCATGCGTGGAAGAAAATGTTGAGATGCAGTAAAAGTGGAATGAGGAAGGGAACGGAGGTGGAAAGAAGATTCGATTTTATTCATAAGCCAAACGATATTTGCCACTGCAGTGTCTTCAAAAAGTCTTCACCCCCAACCCTCCTCAACCTAAACAAATTATAGTTGAGTGTCACGGATGTCGGTCAATGGTCAGTCATGTGAGGCGCTCACCCGTTGACGATCTTGACGTTGACGAAGAAGAGCAGCTGCCGCAGCAGCGCATCCACCACCACCGCCGGCACGTGATTCGCTGCCAGCGTGGCCGTCACCTGGGAGCGGGTGGGGAGAGAGAATGAAGGGGTAGGGGGGCGGTGTGTGATGATTGGGTGAGTGGGAGGATGGGCGGACCAGACCCAGATCCATGGTCATCCGGGAGGGGAGAGGAGGGACTGGGGATGGGATGATGGCCTAGTTGGAAGATGGGGGAAATGGGGGGAAGGGCGTACCCCCTGCAACGTCAAGTTATGTGCACAAGAGCGGTAGACAGAGCACATGCGAATGGATGTGCCACCAGCATGGATGTGCCACCAGCATGGATGTCCACCAGCATGCATGTCCACCAGCATGCATGTCCACCAGCATGCATGTCCACCAGCATGGATGTGCCACCAGCATGCATGTCCACCAGCATGCATGTCCACCAGCATGCATGTCCACCAGCATGGATGTCCACCAGCATGCATGTCCACCAGCATGCATGTCCACCAGCATGCATGTCCACCAGCATGGATGTCCACCAGCATGCATGTCCACCAGCATGCATGTCCCAGTAGTTCACCTGCTTGAGAGTGACCACCACTTTCGCCCAGTAGTTCACCACGTGCTTCCGCACCATCGCTGCCCCCGATCGCCCCCCTGCCCTCGCCTTCGCTCGCGCCAGCCGCCTCCCCCCTCCCCCACCCGCCTTGCCAGCCTTCCCTCCCACCGTGTCGCCAGCTGCTGGGTCGCCCTCTGCTTCCACTGCCGCCTCCTGAGATCAATGCCAAGGGAGAGGAGAGGGCGATAGGGGAGCACGTGGTATGGACGCTTGGAGGAGCAGTGTAGGCGGTGGCAAGAGGCGAGTAGAAGGAAACGAAGAACGGGCGGGGGCAGAATGTCGCGAATGTCGCGAAGACTGAATGTTTGTGTCACAATCACGAGTCACAGCCGAAATCATCCCACCCACCCACCTGCGAGGGCAGCGCAAAGTGCTTGCTGAGCTCCGCCTTGGCGGCGTCCCTGATGGTGACGAAGAGGCGCTCCGTGCCCGTGGCGAGCTGCTGCTTGAACAGCATCACGTCCACCCTCTCCACCGCTGCCTTGGGCTGGCATGAGGGGCGGGGTGGGAGAGGTGGGGTGAGAGGGTGGGAGGAAGCGAGAGTGGAACAGAGTGAGTGGGTGGAGGGAAGTGAGCGCGCATAGGGAAGTGAGAGGGTGAACGGAAGTGAGAGTGCAGAACGGATCGAGAGAGAAAGGGAGTGAGAGGGTGGAGAGAAATGAGGGGGTGGATTGAAGTGAGAGTGCGTAGGGAAGTGAGAGGGCGAACTGAAGCGAGAGCGCAGACGGGATCGAGCGTAGAAGGGAGGGAGAAGATGGAGAGATTTGAGAGGGTGGAGCGAATTGAGAGGGTGGAGCGAATTGAGAGGGTGGAGCGAATTGAGAGGGTGGAGCGAATTGAGAGGGTGGAGCACTGACAGGAGCAGCGGGGCGAGAGGCCATGCCGAAGAAGGAGAAGGTGAAGCTCTCCTGCGCGGGCTGCTCCACTGGCGGCTGGTACACCACCTGCGGGCAGGGAAGGGGCGGGGGAGGAGGGCGAGAGGGAAGGTATGGTTGGGGGCAGGATGGCTAGCTGTTGGTGTCTGTGAGAGCTGTACAGGATGTGTTGCCAGCGGGGGCTTGCACAGCACTGCCAGTGGGGGCTTGCACAGCACTGCCAGTGGGGGCTTGCACAGCACTGCCAGCGGGGGCTTGCACAGCACTGCCAGTGGGGGCTTGCACAGCACTGCCAGTGGGGGCTTGCACAGCACTGCCAGTGGGGGCTTGCACAGCACTGCCAGTGGGGGCTTGCACAGCACTGCATCCGTCCAATGACACAGCAATGCACCAGATAGTAGAGCACGGACCTGCACCAGATAGTAGAGCACGACGTGGTTGGTGAGCCAGTAGGCCTGCGAGGGCAGCAGCGGGTCGTTGGAGCCGCGCTGGAAGGCCTCCACGATGCGGTCGAACGTGTTGGTCTTCTCCGCCTCCAGCGCCCCCCACTGCAGCAGCGCGCGGTACACCATGCACGCCGCCACCGGCTGCCCCTCCGGGCCGAACGGGAAGCGGCTGCTCGCCACCTCCGACAGCAGCAGCTCCTGTGAGGGCGGACAGGCGGGAGGTAGGGCAGATGAAGGGAGGGGGAGACGCGAGGGTCGGGAGCGGATGGGGTGTTAGGGGGAATGGGGGTTAGGATTAGGAAGAAGTGGAGAGAGAAGGTGCGTGGTAGTGGTCATCCAAGGGGCCTGAGGGGTGGGAAGGAAGGTGCACACATGACACTCGTGAAATGAGCATTGGATGGGGGCTCTTCAAACAAAAGGTAACGCACCTGCTGCTTGTCCACGGGCACAGCTGCACGCACCTTCTGCTTGTCCACGGGCACAGCTGCACGCACCTGCTGCTTGTCCACGGGCATCTCCTCCGTCTCGCTCTCTGCCTGCGACGCCAGCAGCCTCTGGCTGAGCGTGCGCACCTCCCGCGCCTTGCTGTGATTGGGGGGGAGGGGACGAGGGGGAGGTGGGGTGGGGGGGTTGGGAGGCCAGATATGGGAATGGTGAGCGAGCAGGGGTGAAGAGCAGTACGAGGTGGGGGTGGTAGGTGGTGGTGAGGGAAACGGTTGTTGCCAGCTGTCGGAGTTGGTGTGACCGGGTTTCAGGTGGGCTGACGTGGTGGCTGCAGTCAACTTAAGCATACTCGAGCGAGGTGCGTTCGCCGACTCTTGTCAGGTTGCCTTGCACTCATGTGGGTGTGTCGGTTTACATTGCATAACCACACACCACAGAAATGCACAGCACAGCACAGCACAGCACAGCACAGCACAGCACAGCAGCGCAGAGCACAGCAGAGCAGAGCAGTGATGACTGACAGGGTGAGGGCGAGCTGCAGCTCTTGGTTCTTGTCGGTGAGCTCGCGGATCTCCTCGTCCTTCCCCTCCACTGTCTGCTGCAGCTCGCCCACCCGCCCGCGCTCCTCCGCTGCCGCTGCCAGTGCCGCCTCTGTTGCCGCCACTGCCTCCCGGTACAGCACCTGCAGCTGCCGCCTCTCCTCCTTCAGCTGGGTGGGAAGGCGGGAGGGAAGAGGGGGTGTTATATTGGTTCCAAACAACGTCGCAGCACCGCCTCCCGGTTCAGCACCGCGGCTGTCGTGCCGCCTGTCCTCATGCACCTTCTAGCGTTAACTTGTCCAGAAAACTTATCCCATCCACCATCACTTACGGAACCCCTTAGTCATACCCAATCTCACTCACATTGTGTCCCCCCTTCACCTTCTGAGCGTCTTCCGCATCCCTCTGAGCACTCGCCAGCATGCGGACTGCCTCCTCGCGAGTCAGAACATTGTGCGATCCCCCTTCCTCACCCTGTGCGTCCTACCCTCTCACCTTGTGCAGCCTTCGCCCTCACAGTGTGTCCCTCGCTTACCTTCTGAGCCTCCTCCGCATCTCGCTGTGCACTCGTCAGCATGCGCACGGCCTCCTCGCGGGTCAGCGACTTGGCCGACACCAGCGGCCGCGGCACACCCGGCCCGCCACCACCCTCCCCCCCTGCTCCTCCACCCATCCGTGGGTTGGACGACTGCAGCCGTCGGATCCTCGCCAGCCGTGCATCCGCACCGTCGGTCGCGCCGCCAGAGCCTGCAGCAGCATCAGCGGTAGCAGCGGGTTTGAGGGCCTTCACCATGGACTGCTGCCGCAGCATGCTCCTCCCCACAGGCAGCGTGCTGGCACGCGTGTACCCAGCCTCTGCCTCACTCTCCTCCGGGCCAAGGGAGGGGAACCGCACGTGCCTCAACCCCACGCTGCTGCCACCAAACTCTGCGGTGCCGCTGCCGCCGCTGCTGGTCCTGCTGACAGCAACGACCTTCTTCTCCTCGCCCTCCTCCCGTGATGCCGACTCCTGAATGCTCGGCAGATGATGGCCATCATCCGCGCCGCCATGGCCCCTGTGCCCGCTGTCGTGAGTGCCGTCCCCCCCTGCTGCTGCCCCTGCCCCTGCTGCTGCTGCGCTGTCCATCGCCGCCACCGCTGCCGCCGCTGCTGCCGCCATGCCACCCCTGCCGCCGCTGCCAGGGGGGGAAGCCACGGAGGACGGAGGCAGGGGAGGGACGGGCGAGGAGCGACTGGAGGAGGAGGAGAAGGATGGGGAGCTGGTGAGAGCAGCACTCACACCGCCCGCAGCACCGCCAGCAGCAGCGGCAGCAGCGGTCTCCTCCCACGTGGGATGATTGGCAGGCGTGTGCGGCGAGGGGTGCCTTCTTGACGCCATCCTGGCGAGGATCCTGGACCCCTCCGGCACCCCCAGGTTGCCCCCTGGTGCCCCCGCCCTTCCCCCACTGTGCTGCGATGCCACCTGCTTGTCCACCACTCCTCCCAGCGCGCCCCCTGCCAGCGCAGCCACGGCAGCCGCAGCAGCGGAGGGCGACGAGGAGGACGAAGAGAAGCCTGACCCCCCGAAGGAAGGCAGGCTGCTCAGCGCCCCTGCTGCTCCTGCTCCACCTGCTGCTCCTCCTCCGCCTGCTGCTGCTTTGTGAGAGGCCACAGATGCCACGTGCAGCACTCGCTCCCGCCCCTCCGCCCGCTCTCTGTCCTGCTCTCTCAGCAGCTCCTCCAACCGCTCCTCTGCCTGCTCTGCCCGCTGCTGCTCCTGCTCCAGCTGCCCCACCAGCCGCACCACCTCACGCGCCTTGCCTGCCAGCTCCTTCTTGGTCCGCTCCAGCTCAGCACGGACCTCTGCCAGCTGGCGCTCTGAGCTTGCACGGCTTTTTTCGGCCTTATCCTGCGAAGTGGAGGAGGTGATGATGAGGCGGGCAAGTGGTATGGTAGTATTATGAGGCGCGTGCATGAATAGTTGAAGGTGAGGAGGGAGAAGAGAGGTGTGAGAGACGATGGGAGAGGGAAAGAATAGTGGTGCGGTGCAGTGCAGGACAGAAGGGAAGGGGTGTGTGAGAAGGGTTGCAAGGTGTCAAGTGGAACGCTTTTGAGTCGCCTCAAAACGCAAAAAGCAAGGCGTAAATAAATGAAGAAGAAATCAGCGAGTGTTGTGTAGGTGACTCCCCTGTCACACCACGCCCACTGTCACACCACGCCCACTGTCACTGCGTCACAGGCATGGCTGTGAACCCCATCATCCACCACATCACCAGCGATAAAAAAAATTCTCAAAATTCTCAAAAACGCCGTTCACACATAATTCTCAGTCACCGAACCCCTCTCCGCTCACCCACATCACTCTCAACCGCTTGTCACCGCTCACCCGCATCACTCTGAGCATCATCATGCGGATGGTGTCGATCGCCACGTCTGTCTTCTTGCGCGGCGGTGCCAACTCCGCCTGCCGACTCGCCTCCTGCACGTGGGACGAGCAGGAGGAGCAGGAGGAGAAGGGAGGATGGGCAAAGGGAGGAAGGGGAGGTTGGGAGAGGGGATTGGTTGGTACGGCTGCTTAGAGGCGCCAGCAGAGCGTGCGACGTTAATTGGAGAGGAAAGGAAGAGGGGAGGGGAATTGGTTGGCAAGGATGGCGAGAGGCGTAAGCAGCGCAGGAGAAACAGAAAAGCAGCGCAGGAGAAACAGAAAAGCAGCGCAGGAGAAACAGAAAAGCCGGGAAAAGGATGGATGGGGTCGGAATCACTGACCAGCTTGAGGTTGTGCAGTCGGAGGCGCGCCACTCTACCCGCCAGCACGTGCTTGAGCGCCCTCCATGGACGCCTGTGAATGTACCCTCGCCACGTGCTCTGCAGTGCATGGGGGCCGTCATGAGAGGGAGGGACGGGGGGTGGCACACAAGGCACGACAAGATGGAGAGTATCGCTTCCAGTGCTCCAAGGGATTCTGAAGGGTTACAGGCACATCGCAGGATTCTCATACCGCTGCATAAATCGCGACAGACAGCAGTGTGCCTTGTGCTGCAACGCACCTGAATGCGGGTGGCAGCCAGGCGGCGGCGGGTGTTGATGAAGGCGGTGCGGCAGAGGTGCATGCGCACAGCGGCCTGCACCACCACGGCGGCGTGGCGCAGCTGCAGGAAGCGCAGGCGCTGCTGCCGCCCCCTCTCTGCTGCCTGAATGGCCGTTGCCGCCACTTCCCTCCGCAGCTGCTGGTAGGCCGCGCGCGCACAGTGACCTGCATGGCAGCATGGGCGTTCGAGATGGGAGAGGAGGTGGGGGGCGAAACGGAGGGACGGGCACAGAAGGGAATAGATGCAGGGGGAGGAAGTGGGGGGAAGAGAAGGCAGGTTTGGGAGTGAGGGCACAGCAAGCTGCAGCACCACAGCCGCCACGTCTCTCTGCAGCTGCTGGTACGACACGCGTGCACAATGGCCTGGAGAGGGGTTGGAGATGGGACAGAGAGGAGGTGGGGAAACGAACAAATGTGAGTGAGGCAGACATGATCAATCGAGGCGAGTTTTAGCTCGACTTTAGGTCGAGTCGAGTCAGTTATGTTATTTTCCTGACTCGAGTAGAGTCGAGTCGAGTCAAATTGAGGAGAAATCTCGATGCATCGCACGACTCGACTTTTGACAGTCTGGTGGGCCACGAGTCGGCGAGTCGGCTGACTCGATTCGAGCTGGGCTGACTCGATGGCCACCAACTCAATTTTATCCACATGGATTCCCGTTGTCAATCCCCCCTCCTTTCCTCATGCAATTCCCCCCGTCACTGAATCTCCGATCATCACTCAATTTCCGCTCAACACGCAAATCTCCCCCGACACTCAACTTCCGCCTGTCACGCAAATTCCCCGGACACCCGATTCCCCCCCGTCACTCATATTTGGGTGCGGTGCGCATCAATTTACCTGTGCAGAAAGGGGAAGGGATGGGATTTCATCATTCCTTGAAAACTCTTAAAGATTAAGTCGAATCAATCAAGAGTGACTCGCGAGTTGATGACTCGTGCTCGAGTCAAGGCCTGACTCGACTTCACAAGTCGAGCACGAGTCGGCACTTTCGAAAAACGGACTCGACTATGGCTCGATTCCACTCCACTCGACGAAACCCCCAACTCGACCACGACTCGAGGTGACTCAACTCGACTCGACTCGACTCGACTGGACTGGACTCGACTGGACTCGTGATCATGTGTAGAGTGAGGGATGGTAGGGCCACACGGTGGGAGAGGGGCAGCTGGGGGCTCTTCCTCCCCCTTCATGCCAATCCTCGGCCTTCTTCCCTCGCCCCCCTACCATTGCCCCTCAACCCACCGCCCACCATCACCTCACCTCGCTTCGCTAATGCGTCTGGACAAGCATCTCATCTGACCCAACCGCACCCCACAGCACCCCACCGAACACTCACCTCGCCAGTGCGTCTGGATGAGCAGGGCAGCGCGCCTGCGGTGGCGATTGAAGAGGAAGTGCCGCGTGACGCGCTGAATCTTCCTGGCAGCTTCGTTCATGGCGTCCAGGCGCATGCTCTGCAGCAGCGCCATCTGCCCCGCCCGCAGGAACACCTTGGTCAGCCCGATCTGAGTGCGTGCACGTGGGGAGAGAAGGGGGGGGAGGGGGGGGAGGGGGGGGAGGTGAAGCCACCATAATAAGCACCATCATTTGTCCCGCCCTCGGAAATGGGACCCCTGCAGGAGCACGAGATGGGTAGGGGGTGTGGCACCCTGACGTGTGGTGAGCAGGGGGTGCTTGCTACAGGGCGGACGGTGGAACCCCCTTGAGGAATTGTGACTATGCACCTGGACCGGACCGATGACTGCACCTGAAGAAGCACCTGGAGTCGAGCCTGGCGTGAGAAGTATGTGAGATTGTGAGGATGCACTGCACCTGGTAGTTGTCGAGCTTGGCGTGCTTGAGCAGCGCCTCCACGTACTCCACGTCTGACATGCTGCGAGGAAGGGGGAGAGGAGAGGGGGGAGAGAGGCAAGGGGAGGAGACGGAAGGAGATGAGAGGAGATGAGAGGAGATGAGAGGAGATGAGAGGAGATGAGAGGAAATGAGAGGAGATGAGAGGAGATGAGAGGAGATGAGAGGAATGAGAGGAGATGAGAGGAGATGAGAGGAGATGAGAGGAGATGAGAGGAGATGAGAGGAGATGAGAGGAATGAGAGGAGATGAGAGGAGATGAGAGGAGATGAGAGGAGATGAGAGGAGATGAGAGGAGATGAGAGGAGATGAGAGGAGATGAGAGGAGATGAGAGGAGATGAGAGGAGATGAGAGGAGATGAGAGGAGATGAGAGGAGATGAGAGGAGATGAGAGGAGATGAGAGGAGATGAGAGGAGATGAGAGGAGATGAGAGGAGATGAGAGGAGATGAGAGGAGATGAGAGGAGATGAGAGGAGATGAGAGGAGATGAGAGGAGATGAGAGGAGATGAGAGGAGATGAGAGGGAGAGAGAAGCAGGAGATGAGAGGAGATGAGAGGAGATGAGAGGAGATGAGAGGAGATGAGAGGAGATGAGAGGAGATGAGAGGAGATGAGAGGAGATGAGAGGAGATGAGAGGATGAGAGGAGGTGGGTGGAGGAGATGAGAGGAGATGAGAGGAGATGAGAGGAGATGAGAGGAGATGAGAGGAGATGAGAGGAGATGAGAGGAGATGAGAGGAGATGAGAGGAGATGAGAGGAGATGAGAGGAGATGAGAGGAGATGAGAGGAGATGAGAGGAGATGAGAGGAGATGAGAGGAGAGGGAGGAGATGAGAGGAGATGAGAGGAGATGAGAGGAGATGAGAGGAGATGAGAGGAGATGAGAGGAGATGAGAGGAGATGAGAGGAGATGAGAGGAGATGAGAGGAGATGAGAGGAGATGAGAGGAGATGAGAGGAGATGAGAGGAGATGAGAGGAGATGAGAGGAGATGAGAGGGTGATGAGAGGAATGAGAGGAGATGAGAGGAGATGAGAGGAGATGAGAGGAGATGAGAGGAGATGAGAGGAGATGAGAGGAGATGAGAGGAGATGAGAGGAGATGAGAGGAGATGTGAGGGAGATGAGAGGAGATGAGAGGAGATGAGAGGAGATGAGAGGAGATGAGAGGAGATGAGAGGAGATGAGAGGAGATGAGAGGAGATGAGAGGAAATGAGAGGAGGATGAGAGGAAATGAGAGGGATGAGCTGAGAGGAGATGAGAGGAGATGAGAGGAGATGAGAGGAGATGAGAGGAGATGAGAGGAGATGAGAGGAGATGAGAGGAGATGAGAGGAGATGAGAGGAGATGAGAGGGAGATGAGAGGAAGGAAATGAGAGGAGATGAGAGGAAATGAGAGGAGATGGGAGGAGAGGAGAGGAGAGGAGGAGAGGAGAGGAGATGGGAGGAGGAAATGAGAGGAAATGAGAGGAATGAGAGGAGATGAGAGGAGATGAGAGGAGATGAGAGGAGATGAGAGGAGATGAGAGGAAATGAGAGGAGATGGGAGGAGAGGAGAGGAGAGGAGAGGAGGGAGGAGAGGGAGAGAGGAAATGAGAGGAATGAGAGGAAGAGGAGGAGATGAGAGGAGATGAGAGGAGATGAGAGGAGATGAGAGGAGATGAGAGGAGATGAGAGGAGATGAGAGGAGATGAGAGGAGATGAGAGGAGATGAGAGGAGATGAGAGGAGATGAGAGGAGATGAGAGGAGATGAGAGGAGATGAGAGGAAATGATAGGAGATGAGAGGAGATGAGAGGAGATGAGAGGAGATGAGAGGAGATGAGAGGAGATGAGAGGAGATGAGAGGGAGAGAGGAGGAGATTGAGAGGAGATGAGAGAAAATGAGAGGAGATGAGAGGAAATGAGAGGAGATTGAGGAGATGAGAGGAGATGAGAGGAGATGAGAGGAGATGAGAGGAGATGAGAGGAGATGAGAGGAGATGAGAGGAGATGAGAGGAGATGAGAGGAGATGAGAGGAGATGAGAGGAGATGAGAGGAGATGAGAGGAGATGAGAGGAGATGAGAGGAGATGAGAGGAGATGAGAGGAGATGAGAGGAGATGAGAGGAGATGAGAGGAGATGAGAGGAGATGAGAGGAGATGAGAGGAGATGAGAGGAGATGAGAGGAGATGAGGGAGGATGAGAGGAGATGGAGGAGATGAGAGGAGATGGGAGGAGATGAGAGGAGCGGAGAGGAGATGGGAGGAGATGGGAGGAGATGGGAGGAGATGGGAGGAGATGAGAGGAGAGGAGAGGGATGGGAGGAGAGGAGAGGAGAGAGAGGAGATGAGATGCGAGGAGATGAGAGGAGAGGAGATGGGAGGAGATGAGAGGAGATGAGAGAGGAGCGGAGAGGGAGATGAGAGGAGATGAGAGGAGATGAGAGGAGATGAGAGGAAATGAGAGGGATGAGAGGAGGAAATGCGAGGAGAGGAGGAGGCGAGGATGGGAGGAGATGAGAGGAGATGAGAGGAGATGAGAGGAGATGAGAGGAGATGAGAGGAGATGAGAGGAGATGAGAGGAGATGAGAGGAGATGAGAGGAGATGAGAGGAGATGAGAGGAGATGAGAGGAGATGAGAGGAGATGAGAGGAGATGAGAGGAGATGAGAGGAGATGAGAGGAGATGAGAGGAGATGAGAGGAGATGAGAGGAGATGAGAGGAGATGAGAGGAGATGAGAGGAGATGAGAGGAGATGAGAGGAGATGAGAGGAGATGAGAGGAGATGAGAGGAGATGAGAGGAGATGAGAGGAGATGAGAGGCGAGAGGAGGAGATGAGAGGAGATGAGAGGAGATGAGAGGAGATGAGAGGAGATGAGAGGAGATGAGAGGAGATGAGAGGAGATGAGAGGAGATGAGAGGAGATGAGAGGAGATGAGAGGAGATGAGAGGAGATGAGAGGAGATGAGAGGAGATGAGAGGAGATGAGAGGAGATGAGAGGAGATGAGAGGAGATGAGAGGAGATGAGAGGAGATGGGAGGAGATGAGAAGAGATGGGAGGAGATGAGAGGAGATGGGAGGAGGAGCTGAGGAGATGAGAGGAGATGAGAGGAGAGGAGAGGAGATGGGAAGAGATGGGAGGAGATGGGAGGAGATGGGAGGAGATGAGAGGAGAGGAGAGGAGAGATGGGAGGAGATGAGAGGAGATGAGAGGAGATGAGAGGAGATGGGGAGGAGATGAGAGGAGATGAGAGGAGATGAGAGGAGATGAGAGGAGATGAGAGGAGATGAGAGGAGATGAGAGGAGATGAGAGGAAATGAGAGGAGATGAGAGGAAATGCGAGGAGCGGAGATTGAGAGGGAAATGAGAGGAGATGAGAGGAGATGAGAGGAGATGAGAGGAGATGAGAGGAGATGAGAGCGATGAGAGGAGATGAGAGGAGATGAGAGGAGATGAGAGGAGATGAGAGGAGATGAGAGGAGATGAGAGGAGATGAGAGGAGATGAGAGGAGATGAGAGGAGATGGGAGGAAATGGGAGGAAATGGGAGGGAGATGAGAGGAGATGAGAGGAGATGAGAGGAGATGAGAGGAGATGAGAGGAGAGGGAGGAGATGAGAGAGGAGATGAGATGAGAGGAGATGAGAGGAGATGAGAGGAGATGAGAGGAGATGAGAGGAGATGAGAGGAGATGAGAGGAGATGAGAGGAGATGAGAGGAGATGAGAGGAGATGAGAGGAGATGAGAGGAGATGAGAGGAGATGAGAGGAGATGAGAGGAGATGAGAGGAGATGAGAGGAGATGAGAGGAGATGAGAGGAGATGAGAGGAGATGAGAGGAGATGAGAGGAGATGAGAGGAGATGAGAGGAGATGAGAGGAGATTGAGAGGAGATGGGAGGGAGATGAGAGGAGATGAGAGGAGATGAGAGGAGATGAGAGGAGATGAGAGGAGATGAGAGGAGATGAGAGGAGATGAGAGGAGATGAGAGGAGATGAGAGGAGATGAGAGGAGATGAGAGGAGATGAGAGGAGATGAGAGGAGATGAGAGGAGATGAGAGGAGATGAGAGGAGTGAGAGGGAGATGAGAGGAGATGAGAGGAGATGAGAGGAGATGAGAGGAGATGAGAGGAGATGAGAGGAGATGAGAGGAGATGAGAGGAGATGAGAGGAGATGAGAGGAGATGAGAGGAAATGAGAGGAAATGAGAGGAAATGAGAGGAGATGAGAGGAGATGAGAGGAGATGAGAGGAGATGAGAGGAGATGAGAGGAGATGAGAGGAGATGAGAGGAGATGAGAGGAGATGAGAGGAGATGAGAGGAGATGGGAGGAGAGGAGAGGAGAAGATGGGAGGAGAGGAGACGAGATGGGACGAGAGGAGCGGAGATGGAGGAGGAGAGGAGATGAGAGGAGATAGATGAGAGGAGAGAGGGAGGAGGCGGAGGAGAGGAGAGGGGAGATGGGAGGCGAGGAGAGGAGATGACGAGGAGAGGAGATGAGAGGAGATGAGAGGAGATGAGAGGAGATGAGAGGAGATGGGAGGAGAGGAGAGGAGATGGGAGGAGAGGAGAGAGATGGGACGAGAGGAGAGGAGAGGAAATGAGGGGAGATGAGAGGAAATGAGAGGAGATGAGAGGAAATGAGAGGAGATGAGAGGAGATGAGAGGAGATGAGAGGAGATGAGAGGAGATGAGAGGAGATGGGAGGAGAGGAGAGGAGATGGAGGAGAGGAGAGGAGATGGGACGAGAGGAGAGGAGAGGAAATGAGAGGAGATGAGAGGAAATGAGAGGAGATGAGAGGAAATGAGGGAGATGAGAGGAGATGAGAGGAGATGAGAGGAGATGAGAGGAGATGAGAGGAGATGAGAGGAGATGAGAGGAGATGAGAGGAGATGAGAGGAGATGAGAGGAGATGGGACGAGAGGAGAGGAGAGTGGAGGAGATGAGAGGAGATGGGACGAGAGGAGAGGAGATGGGAGGAGAGGAGAGGAGATGGGAGGAGAGGAGAGGAGATGGGAGGAGAGGAGAGGAGATGGGAGGAGAGGAGAGGAGATGGGAGGAGAGGAGAGGAGATGGGAGGAGAGGAGAGGAGATGGGAGGAGATGAGAGGAGATGGGAGGAAAGGAGATGGAGAGGGAACTGATAGTGAGAGCGAGGAGGGCAGCAGCAGAGGCGCGTCACTCACTCCTGGTCGAGCAGAGAGGGTAGCAGCAGAGCAAAGCGGTCAACGAAGTCCTCGAAAGTGCGGCGCGTGGGGGTAGCCCGCGGAGCACATGCGGATGGCCTCCAACACTCCCTGGCCGGGGAGGAGGGGAGGGCAAGGGCACAGAGTGCGGATGAGATGAAGACAGAGGGAGGACGGGCACAAAGCGGTCAACACAGTCGTCCAATGTGCAGTGCGTGGGATAGCCACAATGTGCGGCGCGTGGGGTAGCCCGCCGAGCACATGCGGATGGCCTCCAGCACTCCCTGCCCGCACAGAGGTTGGGGGGGGAAGGGGGAGGGTATGGGCATCGAAAGGGATGAGAAGAGAGGGAGCACGGGCACAGGCGGTCAACACAGTCCTGAAAGGGTGGTGACTGGGGAGGGTTGGTAGCCCGCTGACCACATGCCAATGGCCCCCAACCCTTCCTGGTCACACACAAAAGGGGGGGGACACGGGAATGGGGGAAAAGGGTGAGGGAAGGAATGACGTGAGATAAACGGAGGAAAATGGCATGTCTCAGCTCATGGCGTGAGATAAACGGAAGGCATGGCTTTTGTCACTGAAGGTGGCCTGTGACTACAGCGACAATGACTATCACTATCTCATGGCTTTTGCCCGGGCTCCCTCCCCCACTCACTCATCAACTACCACACTGACCTGCAGCACCAAAGCATTGCGAATGTACAATCCAAAATCCACACGCACCCGATTGCACACAAGAACTGGGTTGCAGAGATGTTAAGGTTCCAAAAACACGTGGAGCAGTACACAGCAGCTGGCCACTGCGCTCTAAGCCCGCGGCAACGGCAACCCACTCCCGAGCGCAGCTGGCCCACGTTGACGGAACACTAGGGCACCAAAACAGCGCGCTGCACCAGCGCAGCGATACACCAGTACAGTGCCCAGCCACTAAGCATCTGGGGTACTGCTACCAAGCCAACCCCTCCCCAACTCACTCCCGACCGCAGCTGGTCCGTGACCATGGCTCGCTCAAACATGCCCGGCCGGCTCTTTGCGTTCGGCTTGATGCACCGGATGTAGTGCGGTTCTGTGCGGTTGAGTGTCTCCATCAGCTGTGCCAGTTGTTGCTGGTAACGAGGGCGTGGGAGAAAACAACAGGTATGGGCGAGAAAGAGAGATGGAGAGGAAGGGTGAAAGTGGGTGGAGGGAGACAGTTGGGATGAATGGAGAAACACAATAGGGAAAACTAAAACACAAGTTGAAAGAAAACAAATAGATTGAAAAGACATGAAACTCCACACACAGTGAACCTCTCCAGCGGTGCAAGGCTATCGGTTGGAAGCATGAGAGCCCCTTGAATCGAATCGAACCATGCAGGCCACACAATTGTGCAGTTGTGCGGTTGCTTGCATGGTAGTAAGCACGTTGACGAATGGATCGTGCACACACCTTGAATGAGCGGCCCAGCGAGGCGAACTTGCTGGTGGCCTTGCCGGCCTTGTCGTCGGGCGGCGCGGGCGGGAAGAGGGCAGCCACAAAGGGGTCGGTGGATTTCTGCAGCAGCACCTCGTGCTCTGATACCACGGCGTCCATGTTCTTGCTTATGAACTCCAACGTGCTGTACTTCACCTGGTGCGCTCAAGGGAAGGGGGAAGGGAAGAGTGGAGTTGGAGTTGGAGGAATGGAGGGTAAGATGGAGTGAGTGAGGGAGACGAGGGGCGAGTGACATGGGAGAACATGGGATTGGAGCCTCCAGGCCCTAAATTCCAGGGCCAGCACGGCACGTATCCAGGGCGAGGCCAGGCCAGCACGTGTGCAGGGCGCGGCCAGGCCAGCACGTGTGCAGGGCGCGGCCGTGGAATGGAATCCAGGGCCGTGGAATGGAATCCAGGGCCGTGGAATGGAATCCAGGGCCGTGGAATGGAATCCAGGGCGGTGGAATGGAATCCAGGGCCGTGGAATGGAATCCAGGGCCGTGGAATGGAATTCAGGGCCGTGGAATGGAATCCAGGGCCGTGGAATGGAATCCAGGGTCCTACAGACTGACCTGCCCGGCCGGCCCATAGTGCCCAGCACACAGCCCCACCCACCTGCCCGACCCCACACTGTGCTCAGGAGTGAAGTCGGTGACAGAGCCGTTGGACTTCAAAAATACGTTTGGGTCGACTCAAAGGTCATGTTGACTGACCTTCCAGTCAGTCAGCCCCACTGACCTGCCCGGCGTAGTGCTCAAGAGTGAAGTCAGTGACGGAGCCCTTGGACTTGGTGAAGCGGTCATGCTTGAGGAAGGCGTCGTACAGTGATAGGGTGAAGCCCTCCGCTGTGGACTGCGCCAGGCGGCTGGAGGGGCACGTGGGGGCAAGGTGGAGCAGTGGGCGGGAGAAGAGGCATGGGGCTGAAGCAGGTGGAAGTGAGGTGGTTGTGGTGGTACAGCCCTCTGACAGGTCGAAGCCCTCTGACAGGTCGAAGCCCTCTGACAGGTCGAAGCCCTCTGACAGGTCGAAGCCCTCTGACAGGTCGAAGCCCTCTGACAGGTCGAAGCCCTCTGCTGTTGACTGCGCCATGCGGGGAAGGGGAGGTGTGGGATTGGAGGTGTGCGAGGATGGGAAAGGGATCGATGCGTGAGCGGTGGATGAGAGGGGGTTCAGATGAGAGGGGGTTCAGATGAGATGAGTGGGGAGGAGAGGGACGACGGAGGCATGGGGTCGAGAGAGGTGCAGGCAGAAAGGGAGGGGGAAGGGCGGGTGCAGGTGGAGAGGGAGGGTGAGAGAAGGGGTGAAGCCCTGTACTGCGGTCTCAGCCAGGCGATCTAGAGAAGAAGGGAGTAGAGGCAGGTGGGGAGGGTGGTAGGGGGAAGGGGAAAGGGGGGAAGTGGGGGCGGGGGAGGTGGTGTGGTGGTTAGGCAGGTAAAGGGCACATTAGTGGGGCAGATAGGGGAGGTGAGGAGAAAGGAGGGCATGCCCTCTGCTGCTGACGAGTGCACAGAGGATGGAACAGAAGAGAACAGCGAATGAGAAGCACAGCGAATGAGGAGCATGTCTCACTGGATTAACTGGGTAAGTGAAGTCGAATGGAGGTAAGGCAAGGCGAATGAGGTAAGGCAAGGCGAATGAGGTAAGGCAAGGCGAATGAGGTAAGGCAAGCGAATGAGGTAAGGCAAGGCGAATGAGGGAAGGCAAGGCGAATGAGGGAAGGCAAGGCGAATGAGGGAAGGCAAGGCGAATGAGGTAAGGCAAGGCGAATGAGGTAAGGCAAGGCGAATGAGGAAAGGCAAAGCGAATGAGGTAAGGCAAGGCGAATGAGGTAAGGCAAGGCGAATGAGGTAAGGCAAGGCGAATGAGGGAAGGCAAGGCGAATGAGGGAAGGCAAGGCGAATGAGGGAAGGCAAGGCGAATGAGGTAAGGCAAGGCGAATGAGGTAAGGCAAGGCGAATGAGGTAAGGCAAAGCGAATGAGGTAAGGCAAGGCGAATGAGGTAAGGCAAGGCGAATGAGGAAAGGCAAGGCGAATGAGGTAAGGCAAGGCGAATGAGGTAAGGCAAGGCGAATGAGGTAAGGCAAGGCGAATGAGGGAAGGCAAGGCGAATGAGGGAAGGCAAGGCGAATGAGGGAAGGCAAGGCGAATGAGGGAAGGCAAGGCGAATGAGGTAAGGCAAGGCGAATGAGGTAAGGCAAGGCGAATGAGGAAAGGCAAAGCGAATGAGGTAAGGCAAGGCGAATGAGGTAAGGCAAGGCGAATGAGGTAAGGCAAGGCGAATGAGGTAAGGCAAGGCGAATGAGGTAAGGCAAGGCGAATGAGGGAAGGCAAGGCGAATGAGGGAAGGCAAGGCGAATGAGGGAAGGCAAGGCGAATGAGGTAAGGTGTACCAGGCAGAGTCGAGGATGCTGAGGATGCCCTTGTCCTGCCATGCCATCACATGGGGGGCAGGGAGAGGAGGGGATAGGGCGAGGGAAGGGGCAGAAGGGGAGGCGGGAGAGGGGGAAGGGGGAGGGATGGGTGGGTGGGTTTGAAATCGAGAGGAACAAGAGGAGAATCACATCACACGTTTTGAGGTGAGCCCATTCATCATGTCTGATATGTCTGATCTGATATGTCTGATCTTATCTGGTCCGAACTGATCTGACCTGATCTCACGCCCCTCGCCCCTTCAATGAGGTCGACCACGTCCTGGTTGCCTGTCCGGCCTCACCCCTCCCCCCACGCCCCCCACGCCCCCCACGCCCCCCACGTCCCCCACGCCCCCCACGCCGCCCCCTTCAATGAGGTCCAGCACGTCTCACCCCTTCAATGAGGTCCAGCACGTCCTGGTTGTCGCGGAAGTTGATGTAACTCCAGTTGATCTGCTCCCTCTCGTACTCCTCCTGCTCCAGCTTCAACACGTGCTGGTGGTTGGTGTGGGGAGAAGCAGCGTGTACAGGGGATGAGAGCAGCAGGAGGAGAGGAGGGGACGAGTGGAGAAGAAGAGCATCTTTCACAGTTGAACCTGCTCCTTCTCATGCTCCACCTGCTCCACCTTCACACGTGCTCATGGTCATGGTGGGAGAAATCGGGTGTTGAGGGGAGGAGAGGGAGGGATGGAGATGGAAGGGCCGAGTGGTGTGGGAAAGCAGCAGCTCCAGTTTGCTCCTTCTCATACTCCTGCTTCAGCTTCAACACGTGCTGGTGGTTGGTGCTGGGGGAGGGGAGGGAGGGGAAGGTGTGCAGTGAGGGTATAATTAAGTACTTATGGTTCCGTCAAGGAAAGCAGAGGAGATGAGAGGAGAGGAGCGAGGAGAGGAGGTTAGTGCTGCATTTCTCCTCCTCATGCTTTGGAGCATTAACGGCTAACTGCTTCACGTGTCACTCAACTGACACTTGGCTCACCGCCCCGCCTGGTTGAATTGAAACGCCCCATTTTACCTGGTTGAAATGCTGCTGCAGTTTCTCGTTGGCAAGGTTGATGCAGAACTGCTCAAAGCTGTTGAGGGTGCGTGGAGGGACAATGAGGGGGGGAGGGACGCGGAAAGGGGGAAAGGTGGGGAAAGAGCGAAGGCGGGTTTAGTGACGAACAGGCGGGTTTAGTGACGAATAGGCGGGTTTAGTGATGAATAGGCGGGTTTAGTGACGAATTGGCGGGTTTAGTGACGAATAGGCGGGTTTAGTGACGAATAGGCGGGTTTAGTGACGAATAGGCGGGTTTAGTGACGAATAGGCGGGTTTAGTGACGAACAGGCGGGTTTAGTGACGAATAGGCGGGAAACCACAGTGCATGGACGATGATGGAAACCACAGTGCAAGGACGATGATGGAAACCACAGTGCATGGCCGATAATGGAAACCACAGTGCATGGCCGATGATGGAAACCACAGTGCATGGACGATGATGGAAACCACAGTGCATGGACGATGATGGAAACCACAGTGCCTGGACGATGATGGAAACCACAGTGCATGGACGATGATGGAAACCACAGTGCATGGACGATGATGGAAACCACAGTGCATGGACGATGATGGAAACCACAGTGCATGGACGATGATGGAAACCACAGTGCATGGACGATGATGGAAACCACAGTGCATGGACGATGATGGAAACCACAGTGCATGGACGATGATGGAAACCACAGTGCATGGACGATGATGGAAACCACAGTGCATGGACGATGATGGAAACCACAGTGCATGGACGATGATGGAAACCACAGTGCATGGACGATGATGGAAACCACAGTGCATGGACGATGATGGAAACCACAGTGCATGGACGATGATGGAAACCACAGTGCATGGACGATGATGGAAACCACAGTGCATGGACGATGATGGAAACCACAGTGCATGGACGATGATGGAAACCACAGTGCATGGACGATGATGGAAACCACAGTGCATGGACGATGATGGAAACCACAGTGCATGGACGATGATGGAAACCACAGTGCATGGCCGATGATGCAGGAAAGGCCGACGAAAAAGAAAATGAGGGCGAACAGGCAAAAAAAAAGGGGGGGGGGAGGAGAGAGGGGAGGGGACGAACTAGGGTGGGGGGGTGATTGGGGTGAGGGGGAGAGCGAGCAAATAGGGGAGCAAGAAAGAGGAGGAAGGGAGCGGTCGGAAAGGAGGGCTTACTGGGATGGGAAGGGACGAAGTAGACAGAAGGGTGGAAGTGCTCTCCCCTCCTCTCATCGCACCTGTTGATCTTGAAGTGCTCGAAGCCGTAGATATCCAGAACGCCAATGATGGCCATGGCCCTGGGGTCCTGCCCAATGGAACTGTTCACCTTCTGCACGATCCTGCAGTGAAGGGGGAGTGAGGGGTGCGGGGGTGTGGGGTGCAGTGGAGGGTGAGGTGGAGGATGGGAGATGGGTGAACGAGGTGTTTGCTTTGGGGTTCTGCCTGATAGACTGGCACCTGCCTCACCTTCTGCACCACTCTGGGAAGGAAGGCGTGGGGGGGGGGGGGTTGCACCGGGAGGACGGGGGAGGAGCGGAGTGTGTGGGGAGTGGTCGGGTTGGGTGAGGTGCGGTTGAGGATGAGGTGGTGGGGTGGCAGGGGGTGTGAGGTGGTCAAGCTTACTGTCCAGTGCTCTGAGGAGATGCATGGATAGATGGAGGGAAGTCAACTTCACTAGGTCAACGAGGGTTCACATAGGAGAAAAGATGATGCATGGGGGCTTGGTTGCGGTCATTCCCCAATTCATTCCTTGCCCCTTCAATCAGTTGGGGCCAGTAATTGAGGGGGGCAAAACTCTGGGTCAAATGGTGGGCAAGACAAGTGGACAGGTGTTTGGTTGAAGCGTTGGGTTGGGAGTGACATCATTGGGGTGGGGGGCAAGGTTGGAGCCCGTCCCTCAAGTAGGTTCAATCCCTCCCATCCTACCGTCATCCTTGCTCACCCACCTAGGCTTGAGCAACAGGCCAACACGAACGTGTTCGCGTTCATCCCTACACGAACACCGCCGTTCAGCGATCCGAACACTGTTCGGTTCACCAAACAGCTTTGGCAAACAACGGTGTTCGCCGTTCGCCTGTGAAGGCGAACACCTTGCTGAAGCAGGCGAACACGAACATGTTCGTGACAAACACATTCGTGTTCGACCCGAGGACAGCATTCTTTATAACCACATCAGAGGAATTGTAAATTTTGGGCAAATACAATGTTTGGTAGGCAGCTTTGTAGTGTTATGGCGCCAATACTTCTTCGAGGCGAACCGAACAGGTGTTCGTTTGCTTGCTCAAGCCTACACGCTCAAGCCTACACCCACCCATAAGCTCACCAGTCAAAGAGCTTGGAGTAGAGTGTTTTGGCGAGCGTGTCACGGCGGACGGTGGCGGCCTTGACGTCGAGAGCACTCTTGATGGTCTCCCCCCCCACCTTGCGCTTCACCGTGCAGAGGGAGTCCTGCAGCTTCTTGCGGTCGCACCTGAGGGGGACACGACAAGATGGGGAGGAAGGGAGGGCAGGTTGAGGGCACGCGGAGGAGAGTGGAGCAAGCCACCTTGCGCGGAGGAGAGTGGAGCAAGCCACCTTGCGCGGAGGAGAGTGGAGCAAGCCACCTTGCGCGGAGGAGAGTGGAGCAAGCCACCTTGCGCGGAGGAGAGTGGAGCAAGCCACCTTGCGCGGAGGAGAGTGGAGCAAGCCACCTTGCGCGGAGGAGAGTGGAGCAAGCCACCTTGCGCGGAGGAGAGTGGAGCAAGCCACCTTGCGCGGAGGAGAGTGGAGCAAGCCACCTTGCGCGGAGGAGAGTAGAGCAAGCCACCTTGCGCTTCACGTCACGTCACGGTGCATAACGAGTCTTGGAGCTTCTTGCCGTGTGGTGGGTGCGATTGGGGACCGCGTCTTGGGAAGCCACCTTGCAGTGCACGGTGCAGTGCACAGTGCTGCAGCTGCTTGCACTTCCACGTGCGGTCCCACATGCGGTGTGATGTGAGGGAATGGTTGGTCCCACATGCGGTGTGATGTGAGGGAATGGTTGGCTAGCCGATGATGGGCCCGTGACAGAGTGAGAGACGGGGGTCCATTCAGAGGGATGGCGGTATTGTTGCGTTGTGGAGAGGGACGTACGAGAGGAGTGAGGCGACGGTATCGAGGGTGGCGTCAGCGTGCTTGGCGATGCGCAGCTTGTCTCCCTTCTCCCTGAACTCCACGTTGCCCAGATGCAGCACCGCTGCCAAGAGGCACAGGATGGACATCTGACAGAGAGAAAGGGGGAGATCAGGGACAGGAAGAGAGGGAGTTTATCGCCCTTCTCCCTCAACTCCACGTTGCCCAGATGCAGCACCGCTGCCAAGAGGCGCAGGATGGACATCTGACAGAGAGAAAGGGGGGAGATCAGGGACAGGAAGAGAGGGAGTTTATCGCCCTTCTCCCTCAACTCCACGTTGCCCAGATGCAGCACCGCTGCCAAGAGGCGCAGGATGGACATCTGACAGACAGAGAGAAAGGGGGGAGATCAGGGACAGGAAGAGAGGGAGTTTATCGCCCTTCTCCCTCAACTCCACGTTGCCCAGATGCAGCACCGCTGCCAAGAGGCGCAGGATGGACATCTGACAGACAGAGAGAAAGGGGGGAGATCAGGGACAGGAAGAGAGGGAGTTTATTGCCCTTCTCCCTCAACTCCACGTTGCCCAGATGCAGCACCGCTGCCAAGAGGCACAGGATGGACATCTGACAGAGAGAAAGGGGGGAGATCAGGGACAGGAAGAGAGGGAGTTTATCGCCCTTCTCCCTCAACTCCACGTTGCCCAGATGCAGCACCGCTGCCAAGAGGCGCAGGATGGACAGCTGGTGGGGAGAGGAGGGGGGAGGGTCGAAAATGTAAGGGGGGGAGGGGGAGGCAGCTTGTCTCCCTTCACTCTCAACAAAGTTGGCAGCAAAGATGGCAGCACAGGCACAGGTGCAGGTGGCACAGGATGGAAAGATGACGAGGTGTGGGAGGGAAGGGAGGGTGGGCGGATGGGAGAGAGAGTGCTTGGCGTGGTAGCTCTGGGCCCTGCAAGGGGTGTGCAGGGCAGGCGGGGAACGAAGGGAAGATGCGAGTAGAGCAGGTTGTAGACAGACGATCAGTGGGAGACGACATGGGGTGTTGGCATGATGGGCTGCATCGGATGGATGGAGTATGATGAAATAACACACACACACACACACACACACACAAACACACACACACACACACACACACACACACACACACACACACACACACACACACACAAGCAGCAAGGCTAGCACTCCCCTCCCCCCTGCTGTCCCCAACACACACCTGTTCGTCCTCGGAGATGCCAATGACACGCATGGCGCTGCGGGTCTTGCCGTACTCCTCCGCGTTGCTGGACTTGCCCTGCAGCTCGAAGCACCGGCTCTGGTTCAGGTAGTGGAAGTGCTGCGCCCTGTTGGGGCCGGGCGGCAGCTTCAGCAGCTCCGCCTCCTGCCAGTGCATGCAACAGAGAGGGAAAAGGCACGTTGCAAGGTTAAGGTAGCGAGGAACAGCAGGGACCGAAGCAGCGGGTCTGGCTGAGGTAGTGGAAGTGATGCGCCCTGTTGGGGCCACAAGGGAGCTTCAGCAGCTCCGCCTCCTGCCAGTGCAGCGCATGGCAGGGGTAGGCAGAGAGAGATAGGCACAAAAAGATGCGGCACGGCATGGTACATTGAGCGGCTGCTGGCAATGGAAGTGGTGGCAATAGAAGTGGTGCATGCTGTTGAGGTTGAGGGGCATCGAGGGGTACGGCGAGAGGGGTGCGGCAGAGAGGGGTGCGGCAGAGAGGGGCGGGTTGGGAGGCGGAAGGTGAGAGAGCAAGGTACTCTGGAGCAGCAAGGTACTCTGGAGCAGCAAGGTACTCTGGAGCAGCAAGGTACTCTGGAGCAGCAGCGGCAGGCTGCGACTGACCTCAGGGGAGGCCCCATCGCAGAGCTGGTAGAAGCAGTGGTAGTTCCTCTCTGGGTCGGCGATCTGCACCACTCGCGACCGCTCCAGCAGGTACGACCGGATGGCTGCTCCTGACACACGGCCGCGCTCGTCAAACTGGATCTCTATGAACTTGCCAAAGCGACTGGCGTCCCGAGGGGGGAGATAGTGAGGACAGAGGGCGGGGTGGGAGAGGTATGAAGGAGAAGAAGGCAGGGGCAGAGAGCTCGTGAAAGTGAATCTCTATGAGGTTGCCAAAGCGACTGCCAAGAGAAGGGAGGCGTGAGGGGGAAATGAGTGCCATGGTGGCAGGGAGGCGTGAGGGGATAGGGAACGCAAGGGTAGAGCGCTGGTCAAATTGGTCCTTGATGAACTTGAACAAGCGACTAGAGAGAGCAGGGGGAGGGGCAGGACAAGGGGGCAGTGGCATGGCATGGATATATGGATGGCATTGTGTTGTGTAGGAGAAAGGATGGTGAGTGAGCGTGAGGGGCGCATGCACGGAACAACAAGGGCGCTGTGTGCATCTGCTTCCACTGAAGGCTCAAGATAAGGAGAAACCAGTAGCACTGCCAGGCTGGATACATCACCACGCACCTGCCGCTACCTTGCACTCTTCCCCTCTGCACTCACCCCCCGTTACTCATCCCCCCTCTACGCATCCCCCCTCTACGCATCCCCCTGCACCGCATCCTACCTGGAGTTGTCGTTGCGCACGGTCTTGGCATTCCCAAACGCCTCCAGCAGTGGATTGGACTGGTGCGGTGCGAGGCGATTGCAGGAGAGTCAGGAGAGCATGAGTGGGTGGGGAGGGGGAAAGGGAGCGGAAGAACAACGACAAGTGTTGTGACGGAGTGGAAGATTGGAGGAGGTTGTGGAAGCAGATTCTCAACTCTGAAACGCGAAGAGGAGAAAGAGAAGGGCAGGCGAGGAGAGAAGGATGGCATCATGGGGACGCTGGGTTTGCCTCAAGCAACCTCACGTCGCGCCTGCTACCCTTTTCACCCTCGTGCCTCGCTTGCCTCTCCTGCCCCACGTGTCCCGCTAATTCTCCCCTTCTGCCTTCACCTTCATGCTTTCAGCCAGACACATCCATTTTCTCGTGACTTCACCATTTTTGTTGCCATGCCTCTACTCTACTCTGCCTCCACCCCTTACCTAAAGCCACGTCACTCACTTTCCTCCTCCCGTCTGCCCCTGCCTCGCTCTCTGCCTGCCTCAGCCCCTGCCTCTGCTTCTTTCTGTCACTCTCTCTCTCTCACAATTCCTTCCTCTCGCACCTCCACCATGTGCTTCATTGCTTCTCACTGCCTTTCTCACCTCATTTCAGGTGCGCCGTAGTCCCTCCCCCCCCCCATCTCACCTGCAGCACTTGGTTATCAGTGCTGTGCTTTCCGTCGACCCCCACAGCCTCCATCACCAGTTTCGCTGCTTGCCTCCATCACCAGTTTCGCTGCCTTGCCTCCATCACCAGTTTCGCTGCCTTGCCTCCATCTTGCCCGCTGCTCTGCTCTGCATCCCAGCCAGTCCTCACCCCTTTCTCCCCCTTTACCCCCACTCCTCCCCCTTTACCCCCACTCCTCCCCCTTTACCCCCACTCCTCCCCTTTTACCCCCACTCCTCCCCCTTTACCCCCACTCCTCCCCCTTTACCCCCACTCCTCCCCCTTTACCCCCACTCCTCCCCCTTTACCCCCACCCCTCCCGTGTCCACAGCCCTACCCCTCCTTCCCCCTCTCAAGTCTCGCCCCAAGTTTCCTGTAAGCCCTTCCCCCCTCTCTCTCACCTCCACCACTGTGCCGCTCACCTCCAGCACGTGCAGCTCACCTCCACCACGTGCCGCTCACCTCCAGCACGTGCAGCTCACCTCCACCACGTGCCGCTCACCTCCACCACGTGCCGCTCACCTCCACCACGTGCCGCTCACCTCCACCACATGCCGCTCACCTCCAGGACTTGGTTCTCAATGCTCCTCTCCCCGTCGCTGTCAGCGCGCCCCCCCACGGACGCCAGGTACTCCATCACCAGCTTGGTGGTCTCCGTCTTGCCCGCCCCGCTCTCCCCGCTGATCAGAATCGACTGGCTCCGCCTCTCCTCGCGCATCGCTCTGTGCAGTGCCAGCCAAGGGAATACATCAAGGGGCGGGCATGAGGGGGAAAGGGCGAGCAGGGCCGGAGGGGAGATGAGGAGGGCGGAGGTGGGGGCCGGGCATAAGGGGGCAGACATGAGGGGAGGGAGAACACGGGGGCGGGCTGGGCTTGCCCATGTGGTCGGCACAGTGGGAGTAGTCACACATGTCCCTCATCTTCTCTCACAGGTAGGTGTGGGGACGTGTGGTGCTGGCAATGGGTGCAGGTGGGTGTGGGATGAGGGTGGGTGGTGAGAATTCACCTGAGACGGCACGGTGAGAGTCTTCACACATGTCCCTCATCCCATCTCACACTCCCCTTGGGCTCAACTGTCGCATGTATGTGCTTCGCACATGAGAATTCACCTGAGAGCTCACCTGAAGGCTTCGCGACGCAAGCACCCGCCTCACCTATATGCGTTGCCAACAGGCTAGCACTCAACTTCGACCCCACCTGTAAGTGTTGTCAGCACCACCACACCCCCCCACACCCACCTGCACCCAGTGGCAGCAACACACATCCCCACCCCCACCTGTAAGCGTTGTCAGCAATGGCAACAATATGGGAGCTCAGCTCGCCCAGTGGCTCGCCCAGTAGGCATCACGCATGTCACTCATGAGTCGAGATACAACTCAAATCGCACCACACCCCCACCACCACCTGTAAACGTTGTCGGCACCACAACACACCCCACCCACACCCACCTGCACTGCACCCACTGCCAGCAGCACCACACCCCCATACACCCACCCATACGCGTTATCAGCAATGGGCTCAGCTCGCCCAGCCCAGCGGCCAGCCCCGGTAGGCATCCCCCATTTTTCTCTTGATTCCACCCACAGCTCACCTCGCTCACACCCATCCCCCAATCCCCCACCCACACCCCAAACCCCCCAACCCCACCCCCAACCCCACCCCCAACCCCCCAGCCCACCCACCCACCTGTAGGCGTTGTCAGCAATGGCGAACACGTGGGGGCTCAGCTCGCCCAGCGGCTGGCCCCGGTAGGCATCGCGCATGTCGCGGTCATAGATGCCCGGCAGACGCATGAAGGGGTTGGCCGCTATGAGGATGCTGCCCGTGTATGTCTGAGGGACAGGAGGAAGGAGACAGGGGGGTAGGGAACACACGTGTGTCATGCACTGCACTGCACTGCACTGCACTGCACTGCACTGCACTGCACTGCACAAGTTACTGTACGTCTCCTGCGTGTCCCGGTCGTAGATGCCCGGCAGACGCATGAAGGGGTTGGCTGCCCGTGTCGTGTATGTCTGAGGGGAAGGAGGTATTGAGGGAGGAAGGGAAGGGGAGAGAGGGAGGGGGTTGGAAAGCATGTGTGTGTCATGTGGAGTGCGAGAGGGACGAGAAGAAAAGGGGGAAACAAGGAGTCAAGAGTGGACATGGGTTTATGTGTGCGTGTGCAAGACCAGAGTGCTCTCCTGAAGTCAGTACACAGGACAACTAGCACTGCCGTGTGTGGCCCACCCGACTTATGCATGTGCCACACACACACCTCCTAGATACCACATGCCCGTTGCTACCCCTTCCCCATCTCGCCCCCTCACTCACGCTCAACCCATCCACCGAGGTCAACCAAGCCGTCCCCGTCCCACAAAAACGCAAGTAGATGAGGCTACGCAAAAAAGCCCTCCCCATCTCGCCCCCTCGAGCGTTGCATGAGGTTGTGCAGCACACCCAGCTGATGCATGCACCGTCCATGCGGATACCACAGCGCATCTACAGCCATGCCCCTTCCCCCCTCAGAGACCCACATAGATGAGGTTGCGGTGGTAGCGCTGCATGAGGTTGTGCAGCACGCCCAGCTGATGCATGTGCCCAGCACGCTCAGCTGATGCATGTGCCCAGCACGCTCAGCTGATGCATGTGCCCAGCACGCTCAGCTGATGCATGTGCCCAGCACGCTCAGCTGATGCATGTGCCCAGCACGCTCAGCTGATGCATGTGCCCAGCACGCTCAGCTGATGCATGTGCCCAGCACGCTCAGCTGATGCATGTGCCCAGCACGCTCAGCTGATGCATGTGCCCAGCACGCTCAGCTGATGCATGTGCCCAGCACGCTCACCCACCTCCTGATGACCATCACGCATCTCATCACCCCTGCCTTTCCTCACCCCCTCACCCCATCCCTCGATTGCTCTCCTGCCACTCAGAGACCCACGTAGATGAGGTTGCGGTGGTAGCGCTGCATGAGGTTGTGCAGCACGCCCGGCTCGTGCAGGTAGGCCAGCTTCACCATGTCGTCCACCACCGCGCTCTCCTCCTCGCGCGCGTAGCACTCGCCCTCGCCCACCACCACCTGCAGCAGGGCAGGGTGAGGGGGGGGGTGAGGGGCGGGGTGGGCAAGGGGCGCGAGGTGGCGGGGCGGGGGGAGCGAGGGGGCGGGGGGCGAGGCTCGGGAAGGAGGGGGAGTGGGGAAGAGAAACAGACGGGGCGAGCTTAACCATGTCGCCCACCACACTGCTCTCCTCCTCCCGTGCCAAGCACTCCCCCTCGCCCACCACCACCTGTGGGTGCACGCCACACACGGCAGGGTTGAGGGTGGGGGAAGGGAGGGGAGGGGTGAGGCGCGGGGAGGGGAGAGAGGAGAACGAGAGAGGATGGCATATGAGGGAGGAGGGGCTGTGCAGAGAGGCGTGACTCGTGGCGTGGGTCACCCCCTCTCCACCACGGTTGTTGCTACAGCTACAGCTGCTCTCCTCTATCCTCCCGTGACTATGATAAGACTTATGGAGGGGCGAGTTGGGCGTTGAATGGGATGCGAGGAGCATGAGACAGGATGGGTGGGTGGATGCGGGCGGGAGCGATGCAGTGGAACATGGCAGTGCATGTTGGGACTCAGCGTGCCACTCCGCTCTGCACTGCACTGCAGCTGTGGGCACTAGCTTTGACATGCAGGGGAGGGGCAAAGAAGGGTGCCGCATGGCGTTAGGGAGATAGAGGAATTTGGGCATGGTTTCTAACGGTATAGGAACATTTAGTATGGTGTTATGGGGGGTATGTTGGTAAGAGATAGGGTGATATGAAGTATGGGGATATGAGATAAGGGATTAAAGGAAGTAAGGGGTACAATAAACTCTGGAAATGAAGTGCGAGGTTCTGGGTTTGGGGTTATGAGGTAGAGCGGTTATGGGTAGGGTAGATAGGAGAATTGATGGTGTACGGAGAATACAATATGTACGAAGAATGGGATATGGACTAGCAGGGAGGATATGGACTAGCAGGGAGGATATGGACTGGGGTGGAAATGACGTATGGCATGGGATGAGAACATGAAATGGGGTTTGGAGACAAGGCATGGGGTAGGCTGTATAGGAACAGGTTATTTGTCGTCTTGACCTCGAAGAGGGTATGGCGTTGTGAAGTCAACACAGCACCCCCCCTCACCAGCCTCACTGTCAGTCACCTGCCCATGCAGCAGGCACAGCCAATTCTTCTTCGGGGGAAATCCCTCTACGCACTTCACATGTCTCGCACTGCCCCTGCCAACCACGTCCCTTGCTCCCTCCCCATCTCAAACCGCCGTCCCTTCCCTAGTCACCCCGTCCCCGCCCCACAGTAAGCTAATCACTGTCTACCCTTCCTTTCAGACTGCCGCCTTGCTTGCCCTCTCACTAAATTCCTCTGGATAATTCGCACCGCATGCCCTGACCTGACCCGACCTGCCAGCCACCTCCCCTTGCTCCCCTTCTCTTACTGTCCCTTGCAGTATCCGCCCAGCCCCAGCGTCACGGTCACTCACCTGCCTGCCCCCTGCCCCTTTCACACGCCTGCTGTCCCAACCCTCCCCAACCCCGTGCCTCATCTCGTACTCGCCTGGCTCTTGCCGCCAGTGCCCAGCGCCACATATAACTGCCCGCCCCTCCTTTCCATACAGCTAGCTATTCACCCACACCCCCTCTCCTCTCCCCCCCCCTCCCCTTCCCCGTCCCCCCACTATCGTACTCGCCTGGCCCTTGCCGCCTGAGCCCAGCGCCACAGTGAGCTGGGTGCTGCCGCGGTCCCTCGCCACCACCTCGCCCTCCTCCCATGCGTCCGCTGCATCCGGCACCCACACCTTCGACCCCACCGTGAACACGTGCTGCTGTGATCCCTGGGAAAGGGGTGAGAAGACAGGACAGGACAGGACAGGACAGGACAGGACAGGACAGGAGGGTGAGGAAGGATAGGAGGAGGGCAGGAAACGAAACGACAACAGGTGAGGTGAGACGAAATTGGGTGTGCAAATTGCAGCATGCACCCACACCGTCGACCCCACCATGAACAGGCGCTGCTGTGAACCCTGCAGGCACAGGGGAGAGATAGAGGAGAGCAGGGTGAGACCAGGCGAAACCGGATGGGCCCGCTGCATCTGGCACCCACACCCTGGACTCCACCGTGAACAGGCGCTGCTGTGATCCCGGAGGGAAGCGGGGGGGCGGAAAAAGGGTGAGAGAGCAGGAGACGTCAAGACAATGGAAGGGGAGAAACTGGACAGGTGCAATGCGTGGGGAAATGGGGGGGACGAGTGGGGAGGAGGGGGAAGGAGGGGGGATGGGGGAATAAGGGCAGGAAACAGCAAGACAAGGGAATGGGGAGGAGCCATATTGCTTGGGCGCGCTGCATTGGGCGCCACCCACCGCGATCAGGTGCTGTGCAGCTGTGAACCCTGGGGGAGAGGGGAGAGACAGAAGAGGACAGGGGAGGAGTGGAACGGAGGAGGAGGGCAGGAAACGAAGGGACAAGAGATGAGGTGGTGAGGCGAACTTGGGCACCCGCACCGCACCTTGGTTGACCCCACTGTGAACAGGAGCTGCTGCGAGAGCCCTTGGGAGAAGAGGGGGTGGGGAAGGAGGGGGGGTGCGGGGGGAATAGGATGGGGGGGGAAGAGAAGGAGAGCAGGAAACGCTGAGAAATGGGGTGAGGCGAACCAAGGTGGGCGGACTGCATCAACCGCCCACGACTTGGACTCTACGCCATTAACGCGCTTACAACGAGGCACAACGTGATTATAACGAGGCTCTGGTACCAACTCTGCGAATATGCGATAGTGGGGGGGGGGGGGGGACACAGAGGATGTGAAGGTGGTTTGTAGCAGCTCGGAGGATATCTGAAAGAGGGGGGGGAATTAGAGATGAGGAGGGGTACTGTGTAGATACTTCTTCTTTCTAGGGCGGCTGCTGGTCGTGCCTTATCACGAAAGGAAGGGGAGGGTGGGGAGGGGGAGGGGGAGGTGGGTCGGAAGAGGGAGCGGAAGCGCGATGACGGCGAACGGTGCGGGAAGAGGGCGGGTAGCGCGCGGAACGGCGGCGGATAGCGTGGGGGGATGGAATGAGGCCAGCGGGTAACATGCAGGGGGGGGGGAAGGGGGGGGGGATAAGACATTCGAGCTTTGACGACAAGGCAAGGGGGCGGAAAATACGGCTTTTTGCAACAAAAGCGGGTGGAGATGGGTCGGGGGAGCTGGCAGGGGGAGAAGCATGGCGGAAGGAACGGCGTGAAGAATTGCGGAAGGACTGACGTCGAGGGCTGAGAAGCGCCCCACGCCCTTGGCGCTACGCCTTGGCGCTACGCCCTTGGCGCTACGCTCTGCGCCTTGCGACATGCGCTCGCGCAGGGCCTACTTGCTCGCAAGCATTGCACGCCGCTGCTGCATCTGCCGCAATCCTTCGCCGGTGCGGCCACCAGGCGGCGCTCGCCATTGGCGCGGGGGCGCGATAGTACCCGCTGCTTCCAATGGCTTTTAGTCGAATCGCACGGGGTCGGCACTGTCCGGCTGGCTACCGTGCGATCGTCGCAGGCACACAGATCGACGGACACGGACAGATCGCCGCGCATGGCATGTCGCATTCGCATGGTCATGTGATGCCACATCGTTCACCATGCACAGAAGTTACACGGATCACCACTCCACAGAAAATGCTACAGGAATTACCGCTGCATGCTAGCACTTACGAATGGATCCAGTCACTCACCATGGCTGAACGCGGCGCGGCTGCTCGCAGAGGCAGAAACTCGTTGGTGCTTCTCCAAGGCTTCCCGATGGACCTCTACCAATCGCGGCTGACGGCTACCGATCGCGGCTGACGGCTACTGATTGCGACTGACGGCTAACGGTCGTGGGTGACGGTACTACCGAACGCTACTGACGGCTAACCGCAGCCGCGTTTCATCTTGATCCTGCTTACGACGAGAATGCCAAACTCGCTGACGCTGCACCTCCAAAACTTTGCAAGCAATGTACGTCCCAACGCGAACCACGACGAACTCGAACGCTATCGACCCCCTCGGCGCGTCGCCTCCGTACTATCGACGCTTACGATCACTCGTCAGCCGAGATTATGAGGCTGGGCCGAGTGAATAGCGAGGAGCTCAATACGATGACACTTTTCAGTTACTATTGCACCTGCGTCGTCGGCATTGGCGATGGGCATTGCGCGACTGTGGAGATGGAGAGCAGTGTCGAGAAAAGGCTACGGCCTGCGAGCGTAAAGTCGACCAGAACTTGGAGAGAAATCGGCGAATCACATTGGCGACGGCAATGGTGAATCACAGGCGGCATGCGCAAAAGATGCGCAGAATAGACGCGACTTTCGTCAAAGTTCTGGAAGACGGGCGATGAAGCTGGTATTGAGATGAGTCTAGGGCAATGTCACGCATGCCATAACCTAGTGGACTTTCTCTCTGTGCGACAAGTGCACTGGGGAGAGAGAGTTCAGGAAGTGAACGGATGGGAATCGAAGGTTGGATTGGGGGGATGGGTGGGTGGGGTGGGGAGAGCCACGACTGTGGGTCAGGTCTCAAAAACAAGGTAAATCGTGCAGAGATCACCCTGCACTGTTGTGGGCTTCATTCGTATTTGCCCTGCTCTGGATGTTTCCCGTGTGTCACCTCTAACTGAAAATACTCTGTACCAGAGCGCAAGCGTCCCTCCTGCTTTCTCCTGCTTTTGATTTGGTCCTCCACAGCCAGCAACCCAAGGTTAACACGTCGAGAATACGGAGTTACCCACATATACTGAAGGGAAAGAATGCAGAGTGCGAAAGTTGATTTAACAGACTCGGAAAGGTTCCGCGGCACCGGCTGCTGTGTGCTTCATTCTTGATGATTGGAGGAATAGATACAGTCAAGAAAGCTTGACCAATGAGTAATTGACAGCAGACTCGGTTCCTGGGTTGAACAGCATGCTGGGTTGCGAAGTGATCGGAATTGACTCATTGTTTCAACAGAGTTGAGAGTAGAAAGGAAGCTATGACAATATGAAAATACGGTACAATACAATTTGACCAAGATAATATAGCGGGATAACATAGCTGGACGGGAACAGCCCTCTCTTTTGAAGGGTAAAATACCCTGATTGCCCTTTCTGTTGCGATCAGAAGTTGATCGACCCTAGGATCACCTCAGGAAGGTTAGGGCGTGTATCTTTTGCCCGAACCTGAAAATGTCCGGACCTAACGCCCAAACTGTCTGTACTGCCTCGGTACGGACGTCTGGGTTTCCAGGTCCGGACATTTGCTCGTCCGGACCTTCAAAGTGGAACTTTTCGAGGGTTTGAAATTTGAACGACTGGCGACACGTTACACCCGCTACCAACTCTTCGATTTTTTCGGGGACCCGGGGACACGTTATCACGGGCCGCGTGGATGACTGTACAATTTTTTTCACGCGCCAATGACAGCAATGCAAATTCGGACGGTTCGAATCTGTCATTCCTGATAGTCCGGACCATTTTCCCGCACTGCCAACTTAGCTAACTGTCAGAAATGGTCCGGACATTGGCGACGTCGCCAATGTTCTCGCAAAATGTGTCGCGAACTTTCTCGATATCTGTAACCACGTCGGTGGTCCGGACGACAATTCGCACAAAAGATACACGCCCTTAGCACACAGTTGATTGGTAGTGGTGGGCCCTTCACCTCAATTCAGAGTGGATGTAAAATGA